TGTGAAATAAAAAAAAAAAAAAAAAAAAAAAAAAAAAAAAAAAAAAAAAAGGCATGTTAGTCCTTGGCAGTATCTCAAGGGACACAGTGGGGTGTGTTAACTGCCCTATTCTTCTCATACACACCTGCATCCTAAGGACCTTGCAACTTCAAATGAAGAGGCCTGGACTAGTTTCCTCCGTTTGCAGACCCTCTGGAGAGAAGCACTGAGTGGGATGGCTCACCAACTGGCAGGCAGACTTGAGGTGAGAAGGTTGTGACATAACATTATCCCTACTGACCTATGTAGCACTGCAGCAGCTTTTTGCAGAGGGAAGGGAAGTGAAAGCATTGAGTGAAGGGGAGGAAGAGCTAGCCTGCATGTCCTTGTGAGGATGACTGCATTGGTGCTTCCCAACTCCATCTTTCTGAGCTGCTGCAAAACAGGGTGGCTGGTGGTACATCAGGTGACACTAGGAAAGTGAGGATGACTTTAGGAAACAGACAAAATGTCACCCCAGTGTGACAGAAGTGGTTTGGCATGATTTGCTGTTGGAATGACTGATCATTATGGACTGCCCCTCCAATGTCCAATTATTTAAGGTACCCACTTCAGAAGTATGACTCCATGAATGGTCTGTGCTTCTCTCTCCCCTCAAGCTGGTAAAAGGAAAACCTGATACTCCCCAGAACTGGTCTCAGACCCTGTTCCCAAGGACTCTGCTAATAACTCCAGTGCACCCTGTAGTAGAGAGTGATGTGGAGGAATGACATGTCCCTGAAAGGTGGGCCCTCAGCCAGATCTTCCTCTTCACCCCACAGGACAAAGTAATTTAGATGACTGAAGCAGAAAACAGGTTAACATTCACAGACAGACCTTGCAATGCATCTGACTTGAGGTGCAGGGGACAGAGGGAACCAGAGATTTGATGACGACCTTGCCATCAAAGGTCTGTTGCAGCTTCGTACAGCAAGGACACAAGTCTTCTTAGCATAAAGTGGTTATGACCAATACAACTTCTACTGTAGGTTGCTATGCCCCTGGCAGCCAGCCTGATTTTCTGGAGTTGGAAAGATTCTGGGAGAAAAATAATGTCTTCTGCACCTTTTTGTTACTATAGCTAGCTACTAGGATTCCTTCTGTGAACAATACACCATTATTCTGATACAAATAAGTTGTTTTCCTGAAGAGCAGAAAGTAAACCTGATTCTTATATGGAGTGAGCACTGCTGGCACCATCTGGTTTTGCAGTGGAGGAGGGAATCCCACTTTCAGCACTTCAGTTCTCCTCGTGATCACTCCTGTGCACTATGTTACATGCTAAATTATTTGAGTCAGGGAATATAATTCCTCTTCAAGTTCTTAAAGTTTTTTGTTTCATTCTCTATTGTGATTCCTTGAGTGAAGTGTTCTCGGGAGGACTATAAAATCAGACTGGAAGCCAAATTACATGAGAAAGAAGAAAAGACAGCACCAGAAGTAACTTTATACTGTCTAAAATTATTTTTTCATCTCTGTTTCAATTTCCTTTACATGTGTGCTACTAGAGTCCTTAGTTTGTATTACAGTTGTACAGTCATAAGACAGATTGTAGTACAGAATCTTTCAGAAGAAAAATTGGTAGGAACAGTATTTCTAATGTAAGATGCAAGTATTTCTTAAACCAGTTCCCTAAAGCACAGCTTTTGTTGCTGATAACTCTTTTTGTAAACATGCCATTCCCATCCCTGCTGCTCTGCTGCTAATAATGGTCGGAAAGAAAGTGCAACCTAAAATAATATTATTTTTAAAGCTTTCTCTACTTCATTTTCTCCTACTCACAGTAGAGTTGGTCCACTGTGCACTCCCAGAAATGCATCATCATTGATAACTTCCAGGTATTTGTTCTTGTGCAGATAGCTGCAGAAACAAACAAAACACAGTGATTTGGAAATAGTTATCCACAGGTTAAAGAAGATCTTTTAGTTTACTTGCCTAAGCAGATCTACAAAAGCAATAAGGACCATCCTATCCCAACAACATATTGAAGCATAATCAGTTACTTCATTTTCTGTGTACCCAAGGAACAAAATACAGGTTTGCAATTTTGAAAATAAATTAAATTCCTCAACAAATAATAATTTATTTTGCATATTTATTTATTTATCTATCTTTGCTCCATATTCTTTTTGTCTCTCTGTCATAGACATAGAGACACATGCACATACACTGTATCTTCAGGTAAATATCTGTGAGGATAAGGTGAAATATATTGTTTTCCTTTCATCAGAATGAGGTACAGGGAATTATATGATACTTACAGGAACACGTCATGAACAAGCATGAAAATAATTCCCTGCTTGTTTTGACTTTGATAATAGAAGTTTTAAGTGCTTTAAAATCTCCATAGCCAAGTGGAGGCTCCCATATACAGGTCAACAGTTAAGAATGAAGTTTTGTTATAAGAAGAGCAAAAGAGGGAGAAGTAGGATAAATCTGAAGGAGAAAAAAAAAAAACTTATGTAAAAAAAAAATAAATTCTAAAGTCTTGGGAAAACCGTGAACAATTTCCTGAGTAGCAATTTTTCCTATCATTACATGATTGATGTAATCAAGGACCAAAATTAATTCCCATCACTCTGGAAACTGACATATAAGAAAGTGTGGATTCCAGAAGTGGGGCATTTACAGAGTTGAGTTAAAGGTGCATGATTAAAAACAGGCAATGCAAGACTATTGAACACTCAAAATATTAACATAACCCAAGTGGAACAATCAATTCAGTTCTGTGTTTCTAGATTTAAAAGTGACTGATCTAGAATGAATCTTGATTTTTTTTTTTAAGCTGGATTCCTGTTTACCATGGTCAGAAACTGTCATTTGAGAAACTTATAAATACATGGATTATTACTGCAGGTAATTCAGTCAAGTTCCAAATTGCTTTAGAGAGGCCTTTCTGTCCAAGACTTTTGTTCTCAATGGCCTAATGGAATTTATGGGTTTTGTGGCAAGACTTGGGAGAAATAATTGGCTTCAGTAGTTCCATAATTACAGGTGTACGAAGAGAAAGCATAAATTAAAAAACCTGCAGGAGCAGTAGCAGAACGGGCATCCTGCTTTTCTGCCAGAGTCACAGTGGACGTACAGTACTGAGCACATTTTATGACATTCTGTGAAGAGCAGATATACACAGAACGTGATGAAATGGAAAACCAAGAGTTATTTTTATGCATACAGTGCCAGCTTGTGTGTATTAGTTGGGTATATTTGACATACATAGAGTTAGATTAAAAATGTGGTTTTGGAACAATTGTCCAGCTAAAAACTACTTCACAAAACACAGCAGGCATGTTAATTTCCTTGACCAGGTGGTTCCTCCTGGTTAGGCAGGAGAGGGGAGGACTGCAGTTATAAGAGCTGGATCTCCTAAACACACAGACAGGAATATGCTGAATTAGCTGAGCAACGAAAAGAGACTGAAGATTAGGTTGCGATATATACATACTTACATATATATATATATGTACACATGAATACTACTGTGATAATTCTTTCCCTAAGCCAGCAATTAAACCCTAGGTGGTGTTTTTACTTAGTTCAATCAACTTCTGTCACAATGTTTACAAGAGAAGCAGCTTGCAGGCATCAAACCTAGTCATGCTTTTTAACTTAATTTAGATGGAAGTTGAAATCTTGTCATGAGACTAAGAATCATTTACCAAATATAGTAGTCCCTGGAGGAGGATGGAGGAACATCTAGCTCTCTTGGCTGAGGGGCACTATATAAGCAAGGAGACAAAACAGTCCAAGCATTTTGTTGACGTATGATGAGAAAAACTCTGAGAGAGGTTTGAACCAAGGCAGCAAAGGGGATAGTACAGCTGCAAGACTGCACTTCAGGGCAGAAATGCAATGCAACCCATTAACGAGGACAACACAGAAAGTTGCCAAGGAAAGTTGTCAAGGGGAATGTATGTTCCCCTTGCTGAAATAATGGCAAAATGGTCAATGCTATAAAGGCCCTGAAGGACCATGGTGCCTAGGCAGAAGAGACTTGTAGCACCTGTGACTATCCCAGTTATAAATTTTATCAATTTTCTGTACAGTGGAAAAGGTAAAGTCTAATGGCCTCAGTAGCAAATCACAGATTAAAGCATGAGGCTGCAGTCTATGAGCAACAACATGGTCCACACACTGCAATATTATAGCTAGCTCAGGTCCAGCAGAAGCTAGAAGAGGAACTCATAGCGACATGACAACAGTGGGTGACCCAGGCCCAACAACTACAAGCGTCAGGATTGCTTGACATTTCACCAACAAGGGTACAGGACTGGTGGAGGCCTTGTAGCGCAAGAATGAAGAAAAAGAAGATGACTGCAGATGATGACCGTAAAGCATTGCTCAAGAGGAGGCGATGCAGTCCTCAGTCCAACTAAAGGACAGAAACTTTGCCGACAGCCTTATGGAGGTCATATTTCACAGGGTAGATAAAACCAGAGAAATGCCCAATGATAAGATCAGCAGCAAAAGAGAGAAATAGGAGAAAAACCAACAATATTGCAAGTGAAGCCAGGTGACATTGCTCAGAATTTAGGAATTTCCTAAAATTTCAGAGTGCAGTTGGCAGAGAAATGATAAGATGCCCAGACCAGACTTATTAAAGAAATTAAAGGAAATGAAAGGAGAAAGAATTTGATACTACTGATGCAAGCGGTGATACCTCAAGCAGAGAGGGATGTTTGGTACTGTAACTGCTATAAACATTTTAAAGCTAGCTTTTGATGTAGCTGGGAAGGCAAAAAATACAACAGAAATCTTGTCATAACAGATTTCAGAGGGTGTCCATGAAGTTGCTGGGAGCCATGCCCATTGTGCCAGTTAGTGGCAAAGATACAAAGGTCAAACTTTTCGTAATTGTAAGTTCTGTAACATAAACACCATTTGAGATGGTGGCTGTGGAGATAATTGAATTGACTCAGAAAAGTGCAGAAGGCCACTATTTTATCTTTGTGCCAGAAGAGTCTTTCAAAGTCAGAGAGATGAACTTGGGTTTAGCTGTAAAAATAATGAAGTCAGAGCAATTGTTTCTTGGTATGGAAAAATCAAGTAAAGATTCTAATCCTGTCCTGGTTGAAGTCATTGGCAAATTTTCCATAACATTCACTAGATATAAGCTTATATTGATCACCATGGTGAGAAATGAGAAGTAAATGCACTTCGGCTGGGTTACACAACACAAAGTCTTAGGGAGCCAAGCCAGAGGAACGCTTCTGGCATGTCATTCATTGGACATTACCCATGCCTAAAGCCTTGTTTCTTACAGAGGAAAATAGCTTCATCTTCTCAGCTATTGTTGTTTGAAATAAGCTTTCATTCTTTAGAAATATATGGCATTCTAGTATCACCTGACATTTGTGTTTTCTGAGAACTGACTTTAATATTCTGTAAACGACAACCTAGTCCCTTTTTTTGCGAGCTTTTGCTTCTATTTGCAAATTTCCTCATGATTTTGTCTGCAAATCTAATACAAAAATTATTAAAACCAGAGCAAGAGCTAAGAATCAATCCAAGATTTCAATCAACATCTAGATTGTAGTTTTGAAGGACACAAAAACCTGCCTGACCTAATAAAACCTGCCTGCTTTAGTAACTAGACATTATACAAGCAGATAATTGCTTGTCAAATTTTGAAATATTTTCCCCTGATATTTGAACACCATAGTGAGTGATAAACCTGAAATACAATAGTTTACATACACAATAAAAATCTTCAAACTTACAAATAGAAGCAGCTAGCTAGAGACTTTCAGGAAGTTCATAACCATGTGTTACCAAGGAAGGGCTGCAGTGTTAGCTGCCAGTTTTCACATACATGAGTCAGGCCCATCAGAATGTACAATTTCCTGATGCTAATTAATTTCAGTTGTTTAAGCCCTTTTATTTTGACAGGTATCTCTGGTAAATGGAAAGAATAAGACTGTGGTAAATATTAATTTGACAAAGAAAGTTCCTGTATAGCCAGTATAGCTCCTAAGAGTGCCTTTAATCCTGTTGTTACTGATAGCTAAATGGTATAGAATGTAATTTAAATACACTGCAGAAAAGAAAAACCACAACAGTGGTACCCATGTGTCTAAACAAATGTTGGAAGTCTTGGAAATCACAAGGGTGAAATGGAAATCTGTCCTCAGTGGGACACCAGACTAATAGTCATTTTAGAAAGTTGGTGGAAGGCAATCACATAGCCATGAATACCACAGTGCCAAGTATGCAGGAAAGCTGGAGTAGTAAATGCTGAATCTGGAGTAGGATATGCTGATGGTTTCATAGTGCTGTAAGTAGAAGGCGGCTTTTCTTTTTTTTCTTCTTTTAATCAAATCAGATCAGTAAGCTAACTATGCCAGTGACTAACACAGAGTCTCTGTGGACTCAAGATCCAGGGCTAAGTGGGAAAAATACTGCATTAAGTCTCAGCCTTACCAGAAAGCAACATGACTGCAGTGTGCTGAGTAGGATCTTCCGAGGACATGAAACAGCAATAGGGCATTTCAACTGCTACGTAAAACAGGACAATGTCATGTCAGGGCATGACAGAGATACTCAGACATTACCAATGCATGCTTTATAAAGCAACAGGTTAGAGAGTCCACATGAGGAAAAGCAACTTTCGATTTCAGCTTAAGTGGCACACATGCTCTGTTTGAAAATGTTACAGTCTAAAGTCTGTTTTATAAGAGCAACCACCAGGTATGATATTCAGCAACTCTGTAGGACCAAAAAAGCTGAAGAGTACACCACTGCTATAGTATCCAAAAAGGAGAAATAGATATATATCTCTCTCTGAGAAAACTTCCTTAAAAATAAACAAAAGTATGACAGTTAAATTATTGAGGGCATTCTGGGAGCTCTTTAGGGGCACCATTTTGGAGATACAGAGCAAATGTGAAAAGCATGAGATGGCAAAAGAAAAACAAAATCCTGATTATTCAAAATCTTCAACTGAGATGAAAAACACTGAAAAGTCTGAAGATACTGTTACAAAATATTTTACTTTTACCAAAAGTGTATTTTCTTCTGGGGGTGAAGGATATGAATGAAAAATGTTGACCAACTACTTCAACTAACTAACATATAGTTCCACATACCTTTCTTTTTTCCGTGTTAAAGGATTTCTATTTCTCCTACTCCATAGTCCAAGGTCATTCATACCACCCCCCATATTGTAGCTGGACACACCTTTCTTGGTGGTTTTTCTTAAACTGGATTATTTCACTGATAAGGTTTTACTGCAGTCCCACAACCAATTTTATCAGCACAGGGAGTGATGGAATACGAATGAACAGCCAGATGAGGGAAAAAGGGAGGCTTAGCAAAATTTTCTTCCAAAGGATCACTTAGTTAAAAACCAAGTAAAGTTACCGAAGTTCCTAGTTGGAATACCTCACTGGTTTATGGAATTGTGCATTACTTGATAGTATCTGCTTGCCTTCTTTCAGCTTCTGATTTTAAAATAAGGCAGCAGAGCTTAACAAACACGGAGAAAAATAATATGTTGCCACACATTTAAGTATCACCACTATAGTATTAAATGGGCTCTGGACATGTAATGGTAATCTATCTGTGCATCCTGTTGGACTATGAAATGCAGGTTAAAGAAAGGGAGAACAGGCAAAAGAGATACATTGGTAAATGAGCAGTATTAAGGATTCATCATATGTTTTTTCTACACCATTGTTTATCTTGACTCTGAGCTAAGCCAAGCATTGTAAGTGAACCCAAAGTAAATATATTCCCTTGGAGTTTATTTTTGTAATTAGATTTTGAGATTGCACACTTTCCATTTCAGTAATTTAGACAGCTCTGTAAAAGCTCATCACAAATATATTTGCCATTCACTGGAAATATGTTTTAAAAGATCTTCTTTCCTCACCACTTTCCTTACAGAAATAAACACTGGTGCAGGAGCACCACTTTGCAGAAGTCTGCAGGAATGATGCAGTTCATGGACCTTAATGATGTGTTAGAACGAGGGATTCAAGTTTCAGGTGAATGCTGTTCAGTAAAGTGTCATTCGGCCCTTCATTCCTGGTTCTTTACTTCCCTGCCTTCGTAAAACATACACAGCAATACTGTGGTTTGCTGTAAAACACAGATCCTTGTTGGATGAGAAAATTTATTAGGTAGTGCTATTATTCAGTATGACAATGGAAACTATTTATGCCTGGTTCCACACCTATATCTGCATTGATTGTTTTGATGTCTTTGAATTATATAGGTCTTTTAATACTGCAAGAGTGGTAGAAAGGCACACTGCGTGGTAGAAGGTAGCCTCCGAGATTCCCAAAATGTCTTCTGATTTATGGATGGAACATGGAGTCTTTGAATGATTTGTCAAAAATTAATTATTGTTTTCAATTATTTTCCTTTGTTACTTGTTTTCCTCCTTGAGGTCATCAATCAAAACCCATTAACATTTCTTTCCCTCACTCTTTTCCTCTTACTTTCTTTTTGCTCCTAGTTCCATCAAGTCCAAAGGACCATGGATCAGATCCTGAGGAAAACAGGTACTTTTTTTGCTATACAGTGGTAGATAAACAGGAGTTCAAATTAGAAATGTCAGAATACAGAAAATGAAGTATTTGCCTTTTGCATTAACTTAATGCTGCTGCTAGAAGCAACAAATCTCCAAGCTTGCACTTAGCAAAATTATACCTTATCTTGGCGTAGGGTAACCAAACTACTTCAGAAAATTAGTTTAGAAATTTCAGTGTAGTTTATCAAACAGATAAAGGCTTTGTCTCCTTAGTTTGCCTTGTAAATCTGGAGCAGTGCTTTGCTCCAAGTAAATGTCATACGATTTAATTAGGAGAAAACTGTTTGTTGTAATAAACCATTTTTACTGCTGGTAGATAAAGCCCTGAAAGTAAGCCTGGTTTTAGTTCTCTTGTGGTTTTTTTTGTTTTTTGTTTTGTTTTTAATTTGCTTAACTAGTGCATCATAGCCAGGCCCTGGAAAGATTCGCTTAGAATCATAGAGTATCTCAGGTTAGAAGGGACCCATAAGGATCATCAGGTCCAACTTCCTGCTCCTTTAGTTTTACCTAAATCATATGACTGAGACCATCATCCAGATGCTCCTTGAACCCTGACAGGCTTGGTGCCATGACCACTTCCCTGGGGAGCCTGTTCCAGTGACTGACCACCCTCTCAGTGAAGAACCTTTTTCTAATGTCCAGTCTGAACTTCCCCTGATGCAACTTCATTCCATTTCCTTGTTCCCTGTCGCTGGTCACCAGAGAGAGGAGATCAGCACCTCTGCCTCTACTGAGGAAGTCGTAGTCTGCCATGAGGTCACCCCTCGGCCTTCTCTTCTCCAAACTGAACAAACCAAGTGACCTCAGCTGCTCTTCGTAAGGCTTGCCCTTGAGGCCTTTCACCATCTTGGTCACCCTCCTCTGGAGACACTCTAACAGTTTGATGTCCTTCTTATACAGAGGACTCAAAACTGCCCATGGTACTTGAGGTGGGGCTGCACCAGTGCAGTGCAGGGTGGGACAATCACCTCCTTCGACTGGCGAGCTATGCTGTGCTGATGCACCCCAGGACACGGTTGGCCCTTTTGGCTGCCAGGGCACACTGTTGACTCATATTCAACTTGACATCAGCCCAAACACCCAGATCTCTTTCCGTGGGGCTGCTCTCCAGCCTCTCGTCCCCCAGTTCATATGTATAATCAGGATTACCCCACCCCAAGTGGAGAATCTGGCACTTGCTCTTGTTAAATTTCATACGGTTGGTGATTGTCCAGCTCTCAAGTCTATCCAGATCTCTCTGTAAGGCCCTCTACCCTCAACACGTTAAAGAATACTAAAATACCCTTAAAGAATACTAATTACGAACTTTTTCTGAAAGTAAGCAAGCAGTATCTGCAGAACCTAGTATGTGTTTCCTGCTTCTCTACTTCCACCCACTCCAATAAAGCAGATGTTTAGGACTCCAGATCTTCTAAAACTACATTTTCACTCGATTCTTTAATAATAAGGAAAAATTCCAAAGAGGTCAGAAGCAATAGCACTTGCACGCTATCAGAGAAGCAAAAAGAAAAATTCCTACAAAATCACCTCCAACCTGTGTTTCATCAAAATGTAAGAAATGGAAGAGCCAACACAGTTCATATATTGGCTAAGGCTTAGAAAGGTTTTAAGTATTGCATATACAGCTTAGAGGGATTCAGTCAAGACACTGGATTCATTTTGCCATATTTTACATATTGCAATTTCTGTGGGCGCTAGTACAAACACTATGTCATCATGAAAAACTTCCTTTCTCCTATGAAAGTTCAAAGTAACTGAACTAATGTGAGTAAAATAAGACCTATTCCAGGTCTTTAGTTTAACTTAAACCTTTCAAAATTTAAGAAGTCTAGCTTAGCTATTAAGGAAAAAAAAAGGCAGTTTGGAAAGAGTAAGATCATGTGAAGGATGCTCTTATAGAATTCTTATAGACTTCAAGCCCAATTTAAAATAAAGTACTGAAAATAATCATATCTATCCTGATACCTCTCTGATGAAGCTCATGATGAAGTAATTTCTTTACTCATGAGACTGCCAGCCAGACTCTTCAGTCAAGCCTCTGTAGGACCAGAGTAAGCTCTGCCAAAGTGAATGGAGCCTCTGGAATTGAGATTTGTTCTGTGTTAATGATTGAGGCAGATGATTTGGGCTATGGTGTAAAAAGGATATTCAGTCACTAAGTATTAGTTTTCCAGAAACTATAAGAAGGTGAAGGCAAAGCTGAAATGGTTGCTTCACACTTTTGAGATGCCCATCTCCCATTTCCAATGCAAGTGACTGGTTCCTCTGAATTGCTTCCAACACCACTCCCTTTGTTGCAGATTAGAGTTTTCTGTGAAAGGGCTGCTACCATTATCACTGCTACACTTACTAAAATAAACTGTCTTGTAAGTAAAACAGCATAATTATCTTCTAAATTGTCTTAGAAATGTTACTGATCAGAAGAAATTTTATTGTAGCTTTAAACCAGAACAAAACTCACACTGGAATTACCTGCCATGATTTTATTTCTGAGCTATAAATATGCATGCCAAATGAAAGCATACTGCAAAAGACATTAAGTGCCAATATTTTTATCGCTGGCTGAAATTAATACCCTCTCTTTGCTCCTTAAAAATAATTAGAATAAGATATGTATTTGAGAGCCTCCAACAAGCATAGAGTATTTATTATATTTTTTTTTTTCTGAAAGAAGAGAATGATCTGCTACTTACATAGCATCCAGATTTGTCCCATTAAAAGCATGGCCTTGGATGCTGGTAAAACCATTATTGTAGAGTTTGCTGCAAGTTAAAAAAAAAAGAAAAAAGTGTATTTTGGGTTGCTTCAATACCTGAATACCTAACATCTTATGTATCATTTTTCTTGGCAACAGCACATTTATGGATGGATTAATTTTAATCTCTTGAAGAAGCAGCAATTATAGTGCAAGGTCAAACAAATGCCCAGCAGCATTCTTGAGTGTAGCTGAATCAAGAATACCATGTAGCAGGTATTCCGTCTTTTACTTCTTTTTACAGCAAAGAGAGAACTAGACTAAAACACTTTGCTATAACTTTCCCACCCTCAAACTAAAAACAAGGAAACAAAATTCTGCTAGGACTGATTAAGGAAGGCTAAGGGAATTAATACCTAGCAAAACAGGTATGTTTTTACTGTCAGGCCTGCCCAAGTTTCAAGAATTCATTCTTTTGGTCACTTAGAGCAAAAAGATTTTTTTAAAAAAATTCTTTAGAATTCATTCTTTTGCATTCTAGTGCTCTTCCCCCTAGTTGAGGTCATAACTCATTACAGTCATTTTCACTCCCCTAAGCCTTTTCTTGTGGCTCACATTGTGTATGACTTGCATAACTGAACTTTTTTTAACAATTTTCCTTCAAATATAACTCTTCTGACATTTTCCACCCATTAGTTTTCATGGTATATGCCACTTAGGTTGCAAAAAAGTTAGACGCAGTTCTAACCATACTGTGGCTTTACAGGAGAACTCTGCAAACTTTTCCCTTTGATTTTCTCCAGTATAACCATTCACTGGCATTAGAGTCATACAAAAGCAAAACCACTTTGGTCAAGCCAGCTTAAAGAAAAGCAGCAGGGCTGATTCAAATCACTGTCAAAGTAAAGGATTTATGCAAACTAGATTATGGATACTACCTGTCTATGGTGTTTCTCTGTTACAGACTACTAAAGAGTGGGACAGGGATTTTTCTTTTTTTTTTTTTAAACATTTTACCATATCTTGAGAGAGGCAATTGCCTTGTGACTTAAACTGAAAGAACTTACAGAGTTAGAGATTCATTACAAAGCCCATGGAAAGCATTTGCAGGCACTGAAGTCATGAAAGGATTATCTGCGATTTCACTGAAAAAGGAGACAAAACATCACAATCAAACATCTGCCCAACAGAGCTTCTCCAGAACAGCTTTACTATTTGTTGTTCTCTGCCTTGATAATAAACAGAAGTGTAGAATAACTTGTTTAGTTATATCTAAGGCCAGAAGATACATGTGAGATGATTAAAAATCCAGCATGCTCTAGCATCCAGGAAGTGAGTTGTGAAGTAGGTAAGTTTTATAGTCCTGATTAGGTGTGCCAGCCTATGTGATTATAGTGGTTAACAGCACAGACAGGTCCCTTGTCTCATAAGCCAGAGAATTAGCAAAGTAAATAATGCTGCAGCATCAACTGAGGCAGCCCAAGTGACTTTAGAGCTGAGATCCTGCTCTCTAGCTAAGCTCAGATAAGACATCAGGTAATACATTATTCAGGACAGAGGCATTTCAGTTTACAGAAATGCATCTAGCACAAGTGAAATAACTTATTATATGATCTAACCTAATGATTATTCTGAACTATTGTCCAAAGCAGTGTTTCACTATCTGTCATTTCTTAAATACTTCTCTACTCCCACTCTGCAGTCTTAATAAATACTATGTATCTTCAGACCAAAACTCTGTTGTGACAAAAGGGACAAAGAAAAACTAAAGAGATTTACTACAATTAAACTGGAGAGATGAGAGAGTAAAAAGCTGGTAGAAACAAAGGGTAGAGCAAAGTGTCTGATTGTCCTTTTTCTGCTTTTTCCTGAATCGTATTAGAGTCTGGAAACCAAAATATTCTGCAAATTTTTCTTTTCTTCAGCTTATGGATTAGATGTGGTCTAGTAAGGCAAGACCATAATGCCCATGGGCCGAGAAGTCCTAACAGCTGCCCATGTGACAGGAACAATTTCATTCCTTTTCTGTGCTATATACGTGCATGTATATGTGCCAACACTGAACTGTACTACAGCCATTTTCATTCTGAGTAGTTTTAACCGATAGGTAGTTTCCACCACACTTTTCTAAACAAATGTTTACTTGTAAGTTGCTTGACCTCAAAGACCAATAGTGATATAATGAATGCTTTTTCCCCAGCTATACTGTATTCATCATTTAGAAACCTATTATTCTTCAAAAGCAGATTTTTTTTTTTCTTGATGAAAGAAACAAAAAGGCTATCTTTCATTGGATAGCAATGTTTAGAAATACCTCCCTTGAAAGTGCAGGTCTACTCTTTAAGAAGTCTTTAGCAAGTAAGACCTATGTTTATTTTTTTTTTAGTGATCTTTATAAAAAATTTTCAAGGTAGAAGTAAAACATATGCCACTTAGTCACCGAGTGGTTGGAAGCAAGGACACAGATGGTTGTATAAACTGCTTCTGTTTCATCTAGTCTATTTAATTATTGGTTCTCCCTACTCAGTAAGGGTAGTGTTTAATTTACAATCTAGTAGAGCTTAATCTAAGCTAAAGCCCTTTTGGTCTTTGAGGAATTCCCTAATAGCTCTTCAAATGTAGGTGTATCCAACTCAGAGCTCTGGCTGACTCAGGTTTCAATCTTGGAGGCCAATAGCAGAGGCAAACATAGCAGCTCCAGGTTTCGGAGCATGAGTTAGCATAAGGCTTACCTCTAGACTCAGAAGATCTTTGGGAGGGAAGATCTTATTGCTCACTACAAGTCTCAACTCTTTAGCAAAACAACCAGCATTTCTACATTGCTCTGAGGTTTGTCTTGCCAATGGCAGACCATGAATACAGTGGGACTGACCATTCTTAACTAAGAACAGCCCTTAGCAGCACTGAAACAATGCCTGGGGTAGACCATCAATCATGACTTTGCAAGTCACCTTCTAGCATAATACTTCTTATTTTTAATAGCCTTTTACCTAGCCCATTCAGCAGCCAAGGTTCTTCTAGCTGAACACTGCTACAATATAAGATTGTTAACTCCTCTCTAGGACTAAGTAGCGAACAAGATAGTTTTACCTTGTGTCAGCCTGCAAGTCTTCATCTGAGCTGGTCTTCCTCCTTGGCTTGATTACAACCCAGAATTTGAACTTAAATTGCAGGTTAGGGCACAAAGATGGATGTCATCTTTGCTTTCTGAATACCAAGAAACACCTGCTTCTTTTGTTTACAGCAGAACTCTTTGTTTCTGAAATACTTTAAGGATAATAGTGGGAGACTTCCCTCCCCCATTTGTGTTCCCTTTCTCTTTCAGCAAGAAATTGTTCTGCAGTTTGCTTCAAGCCATATTAAAAAAAAAAAAGACAAGGAGGGGGTGTCTTTAAATCAGTTAAAGGAAAGGGGTTTTAAGGCATGCAAAAGGAAGAAGGTCTTAGTGTTATGTCAGAGTGCCTTATGTGAGCAAACTCAACTAAATTAGCAAAGCTTGCTAATAGGCAAATTCTTTCCAGCTGAGGACTTTAGTTAATGAGAGATGGCTCCACCTAGGAAGTCTAGCTTAAAAGTAGGCAATTGTCAGTTCTGGTGCTTTGGTCCTTCAGTGGTATTATAGACTTGTACTTGAAATGTGACTCTACAAGTAAGGCTGGTTAAGGGCATTTAGGCAAAGTGTGTGTTCATAGAAGCCTATACTGTCAATCTTAAAGAGCATGCATCTCATTCAGCTACTCTGAAAAAAGCATGAGTGACAGAAGGGAGATGGGTAGTCCTCTTTTTTAAAGACATGCTGTGCCAGCCTGAGCTGACCTCACTACTAAGGCTGTCATGAAACCAAGGTGCTCCTGGTCAAGTGACTTAAAAGCTCTACTTTCTTTCTCAGCTTTTGCAATTTGCCTTTTAAGTGCTTTTTCTGTTTTCTTTATTAAAGCATTAATTGTATGAAGCAACATATTTTGGATAAAATAAGTCTTCACCAAAATCTTCCTAAAAATGTGAGCTCAGCCAACACTGAGCTTTTTAAAGGTGTGATGATTAATAATTGCTCTTAAGACTGCCCAGTTCTCCTGCTCTTGAGTCTTCTGTGCTCAGGGTGGGGTCGGAAGAAAGAAGGCAGACAGCCAATGGAGGTTATGATTCAACAATATAGGAGCTCAATGAAGAGTAGCATCAGAAAATGTGCAATATGAGCTCACCATACCAGCACAAATTTGTTAGAACAATGTGGATAGGATGATTTCATGTTAGCAGGCTGTATGTCAGATCAGGTCCTGTGTGTCACACTATTCTGACTTCAGACTAATTCAGGTATTGCACAGCCGTTATAAAAACAAAATAAAAGCAAAAGGCCTGTAGAAGTTGTGCATCATGTGCTTTGGCTAATTCAAGAGAAATGTTCTTTTGTGTCCATGTCTCTCATCCAGGTCAAATGTATAGTGCTAGGTGACCTGGCACTTTCCAGATTTGGTACTAATGATGACTGAAATATAGGTTAAGGAAAAATGCTTTGTCAGACTTAATTTGATATTTTTTCTCCAAAGCCTTTGGAAGCCTTTGCTATAGGTTTTCTTGGGATCTGAGGATGGCAGTGTTCTAATCAGCTGTGAGGACAGATACTTACAGTAAAAAGTTCACATCAGATGAGTAGATTTTGGTGAGGTCTGGAAATGCTTTGAGTCCAGTATTAAAAATACCACTGAAAGAGAGAAGAAACAGGAAGAATTACATGTACTGGATCACTGAACAACCACAAAAAATGTATTTAAAGCATTCAACAGTGCAGGACAGTTATTTCCCCCTCTCTATTGTCAATCAATTAATTTATAATCAACTGTCCAAAATATAAGGATGCAATAACAATTAAAAAAAATCAAAATACCAGATTATAATAAATTATAGAATCTAAAAAATGGGAACACAAAATAATAAGACAGCTAAGGAGATCCGCAGAGGGAAGTAGCCTGTGAGGTGGGTAAGGAGAAGAAAAATTATAATTCTGGATTCACTTGAGAGATTAAGGCTGCTTCAGATAATAGTCTGGACCCCCAAATCCTCCATCTTTCATTGAGGCTAAGAGCTGTTCAAATAGCTCTAAAAAGGGAAACTGTCTTCAAATGTGAAAACAGTTAATGCCCCTTATTTCTGAACTCCTGTAGAGTGGGAATAACTTAACAAAATATAGTTCTCAATTTTTAAAACTATTCTCCTGAAATGAAGTTGTTTTGACTACTTTCTTTTTATTGCTTTCAGATCTATAGGAAAAATCTGGAAACATCTTTCCTCTTTGCTGCTACCCTCACCACACACATACACACAGTCCTTTCTACAGTCTTCCAAACATTACTCAAAATCACAGAAGTTATTATCTTTCTCATCTCTCTTTCCTATGCTGTAATTTTAGAATTTCATGGTCTGGTTACTCTGTGCTGCTCTTTAGACACTTCATGGGAATGCAGAGAATTCTTCAGGATTTCTTTCTGCCATAGAGGTCATATGAAATCAGGTGTCTATAGATGGGCTTGTCACATTTAGCTGGCAGGTATGCTTTAAAACCCTGTGTAAATATCTAGTAAATATAAAAGATGTGTATATTTCTGTTAGGTCCCTTCTCGCTGTTTCCTACAAAAATATAGTAAAACAGCACTTATAAGAAGAAAGCTAGCTGTGGAATTTTGCCAAGGAAACATTAGTGTATTCCAGACATTTAATGGATAAGAAGAATGGCAAAATTACTGATGAATTTGTGAATGTGTTTTCCTTTCTTGCAAAAGTAGTCAAAGTTCCAACCCCTACCCTAGCTGGCTTTCTGTCAGTAAAATAAAGCAACAGGGGAAAACATTGCAAACAGTTCCAAAATGAAATGCCAAGAAACAAAACTGCTATAGTGTAAAGAGTCATCTGTGAGGCTTAAGTGCCAACTTGTTACAGGTGCTAAATACTTACAGGTATTTCAAAAGTGGGAGATTCTTAAAGGCATCTGGATCTATGTAATCCAAGTTTCTAAGATTTCGAATTTCACTGTAAAAAAAGGGAGGAACATTACCGCATTGATCATTAATATTTAATTATTTATCATAACAGAAATCAGCAACGTTAAAATGAAATTTCAGGGACCTAATTCCTGCAAATAGCTTTTGTACTGGCCAGCACTAGCTCAAGACCACTATGCATTCTGAGCAATCTTACAATGATGAATTACCATCTGGAGAGATGTGGTCCTGGAGACTGGCTAGTTTAAGTAAGGGGGGAAGAAGCACCTGAGTTTTGATTGTGTATCCTTTGTCTGCATGGTCCTAAAATCAAAGCAATCACTTGTGGTGACCATGGTGAGAGTTTTGTGTCTGCCAAGTTGAGTAAAAAGAAAAGTTAAGCAAAACTTTCAGTATTGATATATAATAATCCT